CTTTCTATGTTAGAATGTGATGCTTGTCAATTAAGCAAGAACCACTGTAATTCTTTTTCTCCTAATTCTTCAAGTCGTCAGTCCAATTGCAATAAATTGCCTCAAGGTGTCCCTTGTTTGAGTTATTTTTCTATGTTAGAATGTGAGGCTTGTCAATTAGGCAAGCACCACTGTAATTCTTTTTCTCCTAGTTTTTCAAGTCGTCAGTGCAGTCCGTTTCATGTTGTTCATATAGACATATTGGGTTCAACAAGGGGCTGTTTGGTATGCGGGTTTGGGGGGGTTTTGGAACATGGGTGGAGGACTAAACCCTCTTAAACCCATGTTTGGTAACTACGGATTTAACCTAGGGTATGGGGGGGTGGGTTTCATATGTGGGGTTGGAGGTTTCACATTTAAATGATATTTATACCCCCCATATATTCATACCTATGTTTGGATTAAATTAATTAAGGGGCACAATAGTCATTTAAATAAAAAAAATATTATCATAATAGTCATATATCCTTGCGCATACCAAACATGGGTATGGACAACATTGAATATTGAATCCCTTCTTTGAATCCCATCTTTGGTCAAACCTAGGTTTGGACAAGCCAATCCAAACACTTCTCAAAAAACATACCAAACAGGCACCAAGAGTCAAAAGTATTTTTGATTTTCTGTAATTTGTCATTTTTGTTGATGATTTCTCTTGTATGACTTGGTTATTTTTTATGAAAGACCGATTTGAATTGTCTAAGGTATTTACTACTTTTCATAATGCAATTCTGATTTAGTTAGATACTTGTATTAAGTTCTTCAGCTTGATAATACCCTTGAGTATGTTCAATCATTTATGAAAATTTTTTGTGCAAACTGTGGCATTATCCATCAAACTATCTGCCCCCATACCTCATAACAAAATGAAGTTGCCGAATGCAAACATCCCATTTGTTGGATGTTGCCCCTACCTTGATGTTTAACATGCATGTACCAAAACATTATTGGGCTAATGTTGTGTTTACTTCAGTTTATCTAATTGCATGTCTTCCCCTATTTTGGACAACAAATCTTTTATCTCATTGATTTATCCCGATAAACTGTCATTTGGACTCATCCATCATGTCTTTGTCTGCGTTACATTTGTTAATCTTCTTGGTTTGGGTCAAGATAAACTTTTGTCTCGCTTAGTTAAGCCTATTTTTGAGATATTTTCGTACCCAGAAAGGTTATCAGTGTTGTAACCCTATTTCTCGCCGATACTATATCAGTGCAGATATTACCTTTTTTGAGTCATTGTCTTTCTTCTCTGCATCAGGACATACACTTTCACCAGATTTAGTGTTTCCTATTCAAGGGGAGTTCTTGTTACCTATTGTATCAGATTGTGTATCCTCACCTTTTCCGATTATTACTCCTCCATTGTAGGTTTAACGTCGTTCTTAGGACAAACTGGTTGTTCCATATGCTCCAGCTCCATGGCCATCACCTGATTCTATTGAGGTTTTACCTTTTGAGTCATCAGCTAGTTCATCCGTTTCTGATTTACCTATTGTATTGAGGAAAGGTACTCGTACTTATACCAAATATCCCATTTCTAATTTTGTTTATTTGCATTGGCTTTCATCATCTTTTTGTTGTTTTGCATCGACTCTATCTTCTGTATTTATTCTTTGCTCTTTGTAACAGGATTTGACATCTTATGGTTGGAAATTGACTATGAATGACAACATGAAAGCCCTTTATGAGAATCAAATATGAGATCGTACTTCTCTTTCTTCTGATAAGCAGCTTATTAGTTGTCATTGACTTTACACAGTGAAGTATCATCCAGATGGTTTAGTTGAGTGTTTGAAGGGTTGCTTGGTTTTCAAAGGCTACTCACAGACATATGGCTATGAGAATTTTTTTCCAATTGCCTCGACATAACTCTATTAGAGTTCTTATTTCTATTGTAGTTAGTTGTGATTGTCCTTTGTATTGGCCAGACATCAAGAATGTTTTTTTACATAAAAGACCTACAAGAGGAGGTATATATGGTACACCTCTAGGTTAGGTTATGTTACATCTAGTAAGGAATAATTAGTGTGTCATTTGAAGAAAGTACTATATATTCTGAAACAATTACTACGTGCTTGGTTTGGTAAGTTCAGAATTGTTGTACTTTGTTATGGTTTTCAGCACTCTTCCTTAGACCATTTAGTTTTTATTCGTCATTCATCTACAGGTGTTATTATTTTTATTGTGTATATTGATGATATTGCTCATTTTAAGATTCATTTAGGGAAGCACTTTCATACCAAAACTTATTTCTTCTTTAGTATTTTCTTGGGATTAAAGTTGTTTGGTTAAAAGAAGGTATCAGATTGTGTCAACGAAAATATGTATTAGATTTATTGTCTGAAATTAGTACTCTTGGTGCACGTCTAACTGATACTCTCATGGACATCACGGTTAAGTTAGATGCTGAGAGGTAAAAAATTTTATGATGTGGGGCGTTATTGAAGGTTGGTTGGTAAGTTGATTTACCTTACAATTACACGTCATGATATTAACTATGTTGTTGATGTTGTCAATTAGTTCAAGCATGATTTTCGTAAACCTCATTGGGAGGCTATTTATCATATTTTTCAGTATTTGAAGAGACTATCGGATAAAAGATTATTATATCGTTCTTCATTATCTATAATTATTACTAACTTTTTTTATGCTGACTGGGTAGGTAATCGTGTTGATAGACGATTTACTTTGGGTTACTGAACATTTAATGATGGCAATCTTGTGACCGTTGGAAAAATAATTTTTGATAAAGTTATTTTAAGTAACTTTGGGTTTAAATAAAGGTGGGACCCATACCTCAAAATTGGTGGGATCAAGTTTAAACACGTTCTTTTCTGTGAGAAATTAACGTGGTATATTTATTTTTTCAAAACTATTAAGTATTGAATAAGAAATTATGTTCCAAAATAATCCACTTGAATGAATACAAAAGAGTTTAGTTTAATAAAGTGTTGTGCATAAAGTTTGTCTCATATTGGAAGAAAGCCAAAAACTTGTTGAGTTAATATACTCCTTTTTTGTTTTATGGGTTGGGCTCCAAGGAATACCACCTAGGAAGTACGGATACTCTAGTGGAGGTCGACGTGATGGTGTCAAACACATGTCCAACACAGACACGCGTGGGATCCAGCTAGACATGTGTTCGACACTTCTAAAAGTGTCTTGAACAGAAAAAAAAAATATATATATATATATATATATAGTCGGATACGACTAAGATACGTGGTGGATCCGAGATTGTCACATATGGATAGTTCGGGAATCCGATGGAGTTTTTTTTTTGCTATATTAACTAAATCATTTATCAAATTTTGTATCCCAAATTAGTGTAGGTGGTTGGATTAGGGGAATCCACTAACTCCACTAAACATTCAATGCATAGGATTTTGACACATCATTTGGGATATAAGATTTGATAAACAAATTTGGGCAGCGCCGTTTTATCCTTAAAAAAGTTTAGGGGTTGAAACCAAAAAAAAAAAAAGATGTCTTAACAGAAATCAACACTGATCTCTTCCTCTTTGATCGATGACCAATTATATCTTCTTCAATATTTTCCTCTTTTTCTCTCATTTTTTTCTTTCCTTCTTCTTCTCTCTTTCTTCTAATTCTTCTGCCTGATGCTCTGATGAGATTCGATGCCATCCAGATCTACCGACTCACGCTCTCTCTTTCGATTTGAACAGACATTTATTTTTAATAGTTGTTTCTTTTTTAAAAAAATTTTTCTTCTCTTTTTTTTGGTATAATTTATTTATTAGTTGTTACCCATTGCCCAGTTGTAACATATTAGCCTAGCCCACTATCCAATTTGATACTAGTCAATTGCCTAATTATAAGATATTAACCAAATGCTCAACTTAGGTCTTATTATTAATGTTGTTATTTATGTAAAAAAATATATAATATTATTTTGATTAGCCGAATTTTTGTCGTACCTGTATCTTATATATTAAAATTTTGTTATATCCTTATGTCCATATCCGTATTTCTTAAGGTACCACCTTTTTATGTGTGGAGCGAGCACCTACATAATTTTGGTTGCCACACACACGCACACACACGCGTCACCCACACGCCTCGCTACAACCCGACCCGGTCGAGTCGGGCTTGGACCTTGGGTCAACAAGATCCTATTTTTCGCTAAAAATTTATTTGGGGCAATGCAGTGCAGTTGTAGTCAAACCAAAAAGATTTGGATTTAGATTGCAATTTTTCCTTCCAACTGAAATTTAAATATCCAATCAAATTTTTAAATTTCCTGTTCATTAAATTTGAATTTGGCCCTAGTTCCTTATGTGTCTGTTCATGCTCCAGAGGTGCTTTTTCCCTTTCGTTCTTGTTCGTTTAATAGTGTGTCTGTTTGACGAACAATGGCATCATGTTCCTCTTTTGGCAATCCGAATAGACACTAAGGGTCTGTAAATAAACTGTCTTCAAGCCATTTCAAGATACGAAAAATAGATAGTAATCCTTCCTTGCATACTGTTGCATCCTCTCTCTCTTTCTGCATTTCATTTCTGTACGATTCAATTATAAAACACAAAGTTGTATTCGTTGGAATTTTAAAAATTGAAGTGCTACATATTCAAGAACGAAATTCGTTATATCTTGGGAGACAGTTGCGTATCAACTTTAATCACCGAGAGGGAGTAAATATGTCTTGAGAAAACTGTAATTACACAGGACTCAAATTATTTATAAATTTCTAGATTCTTATTTTTATTGTTGTTCTGTTTCACTGGAAGTGCATTTTTGTTTTGCTTCAACATTCGGTTTTATTTATTTGTTTGCATGTAGCAGTATACTTAGTGATTTTAGATTTACCACATTAGTATTTAATTTTGATTATATATTTTGGATAACAGTGACATGGCGTAACAGAATGTAATTGCACGTTTGAGTGCAGGGACTGAATATTGGGGCTTGACTCATACTACGTGTGAAATATTGTGGGTTCGTTCTTTACTTCATAATATAGGTATTAGTGTGCCATCTCTTATGGAAATGCATTGTGACAATCAGACAACTATTTTTATTGCTTGTAATTCGATTTTTCATGAGAAGACTAAACATATCGAGGTAGATTGTCATTTTATTCGAGATCCCTTGATGCGCATGGAGATTATCACACCATACATCAAGTTTAGTAACCAGCCGAGTGATATTCTTACCAATCTGTCTTCACTAATCTTTGTTCCAAGCTGAACATCTTTGATCTTTATGCTCCAGTTTGAGGGGGAATGTTAGAGTTCTTATTTTATATTATTAGAAGTGTTGGATAATAATGTGATTACTCATAATGTCAGTTTATTATAAATAAGATATTGTAGGGCAACATAACTTTCAGATTATTCTCATCTTCTCTCATTCTATTCCTTTCTCTTTAGCTCATTTCTTCTTCTCTCCGTCTTTTAACATAGTTTTGTAGTTTTTACTTCTTAACTAATCCATAACAACATTTTTGCTTTGATGCCATATTGCTGTCATTTGTTTCCTTCAAACTATATAACTATCACAACCTGACAATGCTGATTTTTCCCCTCGGACGTGGGTTGTGTTTTTTTGCTTGAAATGTGCTATACATGTTTCACTTTATTTCTTCAGTGTATGTGATCTTCTCTTCTTTTTTTTTTTTTTCTCTGGATCTTGAAGTTGGTATGTGGTTAAAAGGTTTAAAATTTGTATTTGGCATACAGGGGCTTTTAAAGGAGGGTTTGGATGGTAGAAAGCATTGGGCATATGGAGGTGACTTTGGAGATGCCCCTAATGATTTGAACTTCTGTCTGAATGGCCTTCTGTGGCCAGATCGAACTGCTCATCCTGCACTTCATGGTAACTTATATATCCTTCTTATAAGTTTTTAGTACATGAAGCACTGCAGTTCATCATTTTTGGTTGTTTTGTTTAGAGGTTAAGTATGTCTATCAACCAATCAAGGTTTCATTCACAGAAGGCACAATTAAGGTACCATCCTTATTTACACTTTGTTGCAAAATTTCTTCTTTAGATCTTTGTTTTACTATCACCTGGATATTACTTTGCAGATCACCAACACCCACTTTTTTGAAACAACGGAAGCATTGGAATTTAGCTGGACTGTTCATGGTGATGGCTACCAACTTGATTCTGGAATTCTTCCTGTCCCAATGATAGAACCCCAGAGTGCTTACGAAATAAAGTGGGAATCGGGTCCATGGTATTCTCCTCGGGCATTGTCTTGTGCTGTTGAAACTTTTTTGACAATTACTGCAAGTCTTTTGCACTCCACACGCTGGGTTGAATCTGGTCATGTTATTTCATCTACTCAAATCCAGTTGCCGGTGAAAAGAGAATTGGTTCCTCATGTAATTGTTCCTGCTGCATCTTAAATTGAAAAATATATAAGTTATATTCCTCTGATCTTACTGTACCCATATTACTAATAATAATGCAATTCAGGTCATCAGAACCAAGGATGCCCCTCTACTTGCTGAAACTCTTGGCGATACGACAAAAATTAGCCACCGGGATTATTGGGAGATAAAATTTAACAATCAGACAGGCACCATTGAAAGCTGGAAGGTAATCCTATGCTGTTGGATTTTTAATAAATTTCCATTGCTATATCTGTAAAGGGAGCTTGTATCCCACATCGAACAATTAGAACTACCAAGGTTGGTTTATATACTTTAAAGGCTACTCTACTCATTGTCAATTGATTTTTGAATTGGATGCTTCAACATGATATCAGGGTTGGGTCTTGGTGATCAGTGGGCTAAGTTATTACCCATTTGGATTTCCCGCTATGCGTGATTGTTTGTTTGTTTGTTCGCCCACATGCGTGCTTGGGTCCCACTTGAGGGAGGGTGTAAAGAGTGCTTGTATCTCATATCAAATAATTAGGACCACCAAGATTGATATATATACTTGAGGAGTTACTCCATTCATTGCCAATTGGTCTCGAAAAATATCGTGAGATACATATCGTGTATCATATGCTACTATAAAAACGACACGTTTTGCCCGTATGTATCATTTTTCCACGGATCGTAACATATTGTACTAGATCTATCACATATCACAAGATCCTAACAAATATGGTTCTAATGAACAAAGGCAACCAAAAACCTGTGATAAAAGCTTTTTGTTAGTTCTACTTTCATGTTCTAATGATATTGTAATGACTCATAGGTTGAAGGAGCTTCGGTAATGCATACAGGCATACTGCCATGCTTTTGGCGAGCACCAACAGATAATGACAAAGGGGGAGGTGAAAGCAGTTACTTCTCCAAGTGGAAAGCTGCTCATCTTGATGATGTATTATTTTTAAGTGAAAGCTGTTCTATTCAAGGTGTAACAGATCATCTCATGAAAATAGCAGTTGTCTTTCTTGGTGTGGCAAAGGGTGATGAGAGTTCATTCCCTCAGTCAGAAAGATCAAATGTTCTGTTCAAGGTTGACATGACTTACTCAATCCATGGTTCTGGAGATGTTATAATAGAATGCAATGTCAAGCCAAGTTCCGATCTTCCACCTTTGCCGCGTATCGGAGTTGAATTCCATTTGAACAAATCAATGGACCACATCAAATGGTATGGAAGAGGGCCATTTGAATGTTATCCAGATCGAAAAGCAGCTGCCCATGTGGGGGTGTATGAGCAGAATGTAGGTGACATGCATGTTCCTTATATTGTCCCTGGGGAATGTTCGGGTAGAGCAGACGTTAGGTGGGTGACATTTCAAAACAAGGAAGGTTGTGGAATCTATGCTTCCATGTATGGAGGCTCTCCTCCTATGCAAATGAATGCAAGTTACTACTCCACGGCAGAGCTTGATCGGGCAACACACCATGAGGAACTTATCAAAGGAGACAATGTTGAGGTAGTTTTTTCTTCTGTTTGATTTTTGTTCAAGTAATATAATATGATAGAAAGTTTCAAAGTGTCTATATAAAAGTATATATTTTTTGTTGTTGTGTGAATTGTTTCCATAAGTACATATAGTATCTTACAGTTAAGGCTCTCGATAGTACCCTTTCAATGGCAGAGATCCCTGTAGACTTCCTTGGCCATTAGAAGATTTTAGAAAAAAGTTTTGGATCATTACTTTACTGAATTTCTGGTATTATAATGATACTAATTAAATTAACATGAAATCACTTTATAAAGGACCATGCCCTTGTTCCATACTGAAAATATGAAGTAAATTAGAAAATATACGATCCTAATGGCCTCTCCACGAATTGCCAAGTGCTTTTGATTTGTATGCCTATTAGGTGGTCTCAAAGCAGGCTCCACCACCTTACGGCCACAGAAATGACGGCCCATAAGACGGGGTACCTGAGAATCATCTCAAAGGAAGGAAAGGACTCCTAACTGTTGCAGTTAGACTACCTCTGGTGAGAGCTACCATGAAAAGGTGGTCTAGACGTGAGTGAGTCATCCTAACAAGTTGCAAGGGGTACTCCCCTATCAAAAGTATCAAGTAAAATAGAATAATTTATGGGCCTAGTATCACCTTTCAAAGCTTATAAACCAACAAGAGCAAATACTTGCGCGGTGGGTTCCATTTGATGAATTTCTTGATTACAATGGAGGAGACTTATTTGGAGTGGAGAGAACAGGCTTTGGCTGACTCACAATGCGAATTGCAAACCTTGTACATTTGAACAATTCCATCATATTAGATCCTTTTCAATGATGTCCTCGCAATCGTATGTTTTTTTAGTGTATTCCTATGCTAGAACCTCAATTTACAACGATCCGATAGTTATTTTTCTGACAAGAGCCATACATTCATATTCATTTTCACGTACGCCCTCAATGTTCTTGTTAGAAAATGTATTTTATATAAGTGCTTACAAGATATGTCTGCACACTCGTTTCTAACTTTTGGACCCTGTTTTTCTAGTTTCCCATATAGTTAAAATTGAAGGTTAGGCAAGTCTAACACCTAGACACATACCTATACCTCACTCTTGCGTTGAATTGTGAAGTTGTTAGGGTTTGGAGACGGAGATAGAAAATATAAGAGAAAATAGAGGATTATATGAAGAGAGTAGTGTGTGGGGGTTAAACTACTACACCCACCTTTTATATATAGTCACATCGCAAAATATTAAAATACCCATAAGCTAGAAATAACATATAACATAACATGATGGAAAAAAAGATCTTTTGATGATCCCAACTTTTTACATTGGCATATGATATGTTTGCTATCACGTCTTTTTGGAGTGTGAAAACTATAGCAAAGTTATTGCACAAAACAAGATTTTCTATTAGAAGCCCTTACATCCAGATAAATTGGAAAAATTAAATATTCTAGTTTCTCCTCTCAAATAAAGTTGACCAATCTATCTGTGTCATCTTTTGATTAAGCTGCTGTAGAAGAATGCTAATCAGAATGGCTGGAACTTTGAAATTTGAATTTGCCCCACTTTCGGTTCATTAAACTCTTTTCTATGCTCGGTGAGACTGTTGCATAGCTTCAGTTTCGTTCTGAAATTCCTGTGTAAAAGTAGTTGTAGTTTTTAAGATGGTACTGTCTTACTGATTGACTAGTTGTTGGCATAGTGAATAAATATTAGGTAACTATGTGCACATGGATATTATGATTTGATATAAAAGTGAAAACAATCTGAATTGAATAAGATTTACAAAGCGAACCACAACCCAAAATCGTGCCACGTATTGGAAAAAGTATTATACCACGTACTCGTGCATGTACCATGTTTCAAATCGACCCACGAATTATGTAACATTGGGCCGGAAGAGGAGCAATCTCAGAATGAGTTACATACAAGGTCTTATTGTGATCGTCATTCATAGTTTTGGCATCTTATTTATTTTAGATACATTTGTGAGAAATGGAAAAAACACACATTATTATTATATCTTACCTTCTCAGTTCCACTCTTATCTTTCCTTTTTTCTTCATTCCCAATCTGAATAGACTGACAGAAAGTTTCCACTCTACATGCAATGCATATATATATGCCTATTGGAAACTTTTTTTATTTAAAGAAAAAGGAAAGTTATGAACATGACACCAACCCTCCACATGGATTCGGGTTAGAATGACCTCCCAATGTACTTGATTATGTTAAAAGTAGAACATATAGACCATGGATTCAGGGTTAAGGGGACATACATATATTTAGTTTCTTGTTCTGCTGTTTTTCTTTTTCTAACTTCCTCATTTTTTGCGATTTCTATTTCTTTCTACTGAATTCTTCTCGCGCATTGCAATTGTCTAACCTTCGCATTTTGTAATTCTGATGCCGCAGGTGCATCTTGATCACAAGCACATGGGTGTGGGTGGAGATGATAGCTGGTCCCCATGTGTCCATGACAAATATCTGGTTCCTGCTGTGCCGTATTTATTCTCCATCAGATTGTGTCCGATCACTGCAGCCACCTCTGGCCATGACATCTACAAATCCCAGCTCTAATGAACGCATTACTACATATGAAGTTGCGTATCAGCATCAATGAACTTGGTTTTGTAAGTTGTACTTTGCAAAAGTTTAACTAGAACTGATGAACCACGCAACGCAATGATATGGGATGATAAACTATTTGGCAACTCTGGATCATTGAGTGGAAAATAAGAGCCAATATGTTGAACCCCCAATCAATGATTTTCGTTGAAGAAGACTTTCATTTTCATTGATCTCTGAACAGAAACATGGTTATGGGCATAGAGATCAATCTCTCTCCAAATGCCTGATGAAACAAAAATGTTACTCTAATTGGAGTTTCAGTGGGAGCTGTACTATTCTAAGCTCTTTGGATTTCTTCAGGTAGTGTAGAGCCTTGTTATGGTTAAAATTACTGCTTACAGATTTGTGAGTAGTTTTTTTGGGAAGGTAGATTTGTCAGTACTTACTGTGTTGGAAACTTGGAAAAGCATGCTCAGTGCGTTGCAGTGATGCTAGCCACTCTTTATTTCAGTATTTGGATGGATATGTAATTATGACCTCTTTAAGTGTCATTACTTGGCTTAGTTAGTCCTTGTGAATAAATGCCTTGTTTAGTTATTGAATTGTAAAAGAATGGATTATATTATGTAATAAAAACTAATTTCATATAAACGGATAAATCACAATATTAAATATGGGATAACAATATTGATCATTAGACACTAGATTAGGGTGTATTAATTACAGATTGACCAAAAAAATTTCAATCTAGGTTAGTTATTCATGTTTTTGTTTATTTGGTGGGTAAAATAGTAATTTATGATATAACACACTTGAACTAGATTATAATGAGATGAGGTATTACAATTGACTTAATAATACAGATGGAGTGTATTATTAATGTACTTATTTAGAATACGCTTATATATAATAGAGTGTTTGTGCCAATTAAATACAATATAAAGTTAGATTAGAAAATTTTAATATGTTAAAATTTTGTAACCCATCCTTTAATTCTGAAATTATATGACCCCAGAGATTATTGAGAGTGGATGGACTTTTTACAGAGATAGACTGCCTTTGGACTTTGGAGCAAATTCTAAATGGACATTTTGGACCTCAAAACCCATTTGTAGAATTCTAAGCTATTTGATAAAGAATATTAAAAAAATATACGTGTATTCTATGTGTTCAATAGAAAAAAAAAAAGATGTTGTGGCAAGAGGTTTAAGTTGATTGATAAGTTTTCATTAACTCCTCTAAAAGTCAGGTCTTTTTAGAGGTGGTGCTTGAAATCAAGCTTATTGGTCTTATTGGGTCTTACAACTTTAAGATGATGTTGGATAAAGTATGTTCAAAAAATACATGTATTCCCTTGTGTTTGTTCATCAAAAAAAAAATCTAAGCTATTTGGTAAACACGTGACTTTGGCTTTCAGTCGGATGCCCTTTTTGAAAAGCTAGTTTTCCTAGCTAAGTTTTTTACCAAACATGACTGGTTTAGAAAAGAAATTCTCAGAGTGAGGTAGTTTTGAAATTAATTCCTAAATCCAGATAATTTTTTAAAATATCAATTCAAATAACGTTTTTAAGGTAAAAATATCAGTTGAACCAACGTTTTCATAGCAAACCTAGTGTGCTTAGTGGCGATAAAAACATCAGTCCAACGTCACTCCAATTAACGTTTTTAGGAAAACACATTAGTTGAACTAATGCCACTAAGAAAGCATTAGGAGTCATTTTTTTTTAACAGTTGCATTTGGTCTTTTTCAAACAACTTTTACCAAAAAAAACTAAATTCTTATCTTTATTTTTATTGCTTACATGTGCAACTGATGACCTAAGAATTGTATTTTTTGTAAGTGTGCATATGCAAAATGCGTTTAATTCATTGACAAAAATTTCCACCATCTGCATTAACGCAAATTTTAATAATGTAATGGCTATTTTATTATCTGAAATACAAATACAAAATAAGGATCATGCTCATATGACATGAAATATACAACAACATACACCTGCTAATGAGGATCATATTCCTAACAATATAGTGGTTTGCCAAGTACGCACATATTAGCAGGGAGATATTTTTTAAGATCATCATCACTTGAATTGTTAAAGTCATAAAGTTTAGGGTAAGAAGCCAGGGATGAATCCCCCATAATTTATTAATGGCCTTGTCAGGATATGAATATTCTATCTTTACATATTTGATTGCATTGAATCAATCCAGACGTCGTTGCATCTGATCATTCTCACGTTCAAGTTTACGATATCGTTATAGTTGCTTAAGTTCCATTCCTCGTACATATTAGGTGAACGTGCCTTTAGCACCTATAATCCATGCCGATAATAATATACTTCAAGTGAACAGCGTTTGAAATATGATTTCCTCCACCTTGATGTTGGTAATAGAACCGTGAAGGCCAATTATCGGTTACAAGCTCAATAATCACATGGCCGACATGTGTCAAAGGATAATGAGTGTTGATCCACTCATTGCATAAGTCACCCAATCGTCCATATCACATTACACTACTGGGATCTGTCTAGGATCCATAAGATGGTAGAATGACTGATGACGAACTTTGATGCTAGTGTGCACCTTGTCGTTGGCATCTTGTCGTCGAGATATGGGGGTTGTTTCGCGGATGTGAATTTTGACCTTGGTTGCATGAGGATGAACCATCGTTTGTTCGTCTAGAAGATCTATTTGATGACCTTCTAGGCGTTTTAATGTAGGATTTATATTGTGAATAATGTGTATATATACACATAGAAGTAATAACTTTATACAACACTAATAAATTAAGATCTCATATATATCACTGAAAACGCTAAGATGGAGAGTCAGATATTACACTGACAACACTTTGATGACTAAACACTAACACTGACAATAATAACAATAACAACACTAAGATGACAAAGCACTATAAAATCTGAATAAGTATTGTCACTTCATTGTCTGACTCGTTCCTATTTATGCATTTGTTGTTCATTAAAGTTGTGATTCTTTATCTGGCATATACTTATTTGATAGGTATGTTCAATAATCAAAACATTATTTCTTTTAATAGATGTTAACTCTCGTCCATATGCAATTGATGCCATGGTGGTAATCTTGAGCATATAGTATCGATATCTACGGAGTAGCATCATATTGTTCTCAGCTCGGAGTCGTCAAACTGTTGATTCGTAGTCTTAGCTATTTGTTCTTTGCATCATCAATGAATGTCAATATGGCACGGGTGCTTGAAGTTCTACTACATCCATTTGTAATGCGTGTGATTCATTGACACGAAATGTCCACCCCTGGCGTAGTCCGACATAATACTCTTTTTGTATCAATATATTGCTTACTTTTATCATTATTGTCTCTTTCTTTTAACAACAATGTTATTTTTCTTTGACGATTGTTCACAAGTCCTGATGCACTAGATGAAGACATGATACAAATTGTTACAACGATGTATAGCATTTACGAAATTTATATAGGTGCAAACATGTGACAACACATCTTATTGGTACCAATTATTAAATGTGATGACACATCTTATTCACCCTCCCCCTGACATTGAATATGATAACACATCTTATTGGTACCAATTATGAAGCATATCCATTGAAGCATCAACGTTTAGTCACTGTACATGGAAGTGGCGACACAATACCAGACGCTTTAAGTGCAAATATAGAAAATGAGTGTTGGGTTGTCACTTCACATGTCTTCTTGACATTGAATGTGACAACACATCTTATTGGTACCAGTTATTAAATTTATCCATTGACGCTTCGGCACTTAGTCTAGTATTAATTCAACGTATTTACTCACATACTCGACATCACCTTTTCAAACATGTATTATTACATTGTTTGAAACAATGGGTTGCACTTGGGCTCTAGAGGATGAGTTCTATTACCCTTAAATCATCGTTTACGTTACTCAGAGAAAGCCATCACTACAATGATGAACGAGTGAGAATATCGTTTTATGAAAGGGAGGTTTTGAGCAATGATCTATATAGATTTGCAATATACATAGGACTCATCAAAACGTCATTGTCATGCCAATTGATACTTTTCAACAACTTGAAAGAGCATTATTATGGTTTTGTGCAAAAAACAATCGCATGGTTATACACCTATAGCACATTGCACATGAGTGTGCTGAAAAAGGGTTGATGGAAGAAGCACGTACAACTTTGATGTTGAGTAGGGAACAAGGATGTACTTTTGATATTGAGATGTCCAGCAAAGATAACGAACCATGGCAAAATAATTGTGGTTATGGAGAAAGAATTGTGCTTTTGTTTTATTATTACTTAGTTTTCATTGTAATATTTTATTATATATTAGTCTTTATTTGTTGTTATGTTGAAATGTAATAATGAAAATAAAACTATTGGTTAACGTTGGGTATGTACAACATCTATAACAAGTTAAATAAAAAATAAAGAGCAATGCTATTGAGACCTATTTTATTGACATAATTATCTGATCTAATTCACTGAAAATTTTGGATTCATTGTAGACCCCATTAAATATTGGAACTTGGTGTTGATTCAATGATTCCTATGAAACCACATTATTATATCAGCAAATTAGTTCAGATTTTTAGGTCCAAATAGCAATACTCATAAATTAAAATGATAAAAATTGTTATATACAACAACGCGATAAAGGTAACAAAATAAATAACCAAAATACACCAAGTCCCACATGGTGGTGGCTTTCTATTTCGCTTGGGCCGCCATTTGCCTCATTGGGTTGACTATCTACATTCGAGCCATCCAAGTCATCAATTAATAATTTTTCATACTTTTTCTCTTTCTCTGAGTCATCTGTGCGATCATTCGCCTACATTTCTTCCTATTCCCTAATTGGACTATGGTGCATAACTGATTGTTGACGTGTTCTAGTTCACCACAATTAATACCCTCTTGACCCGTTTGAACACTAAGATTGATTGGCGTAGAGTATTCAACATAGTTACCAAGGCTAGAATATCCATGGGTATAGTTGTACTGCCCCGGACTTGTCCATTAATTGCATTCCCACTGGGGGTGAAACATTCACCCATCAAGCCAAAATTTGGAAATGTGAAGGTGACTATTTCCCATCTAAGAAAATAAGTATAAGACATGTTGTTAGTGTCCACCCCCACCCCCCTTCCGCGTGCGCGCGCGCATGTAGGTTCTGACTCTCACCAATGAATACATTGATATCCTCTGTCTCCACATGCGAATCAACATTGTTCAACATATAGTTGTTGAATACCACAATATCGTCGTTTACAATTTCCATTTGGACATACGTAGTCATGTTTGCTCCTAGGGTAGCAGGATATCCACATATTAGCCTTAACCTGTTGTACAATCATTTAGAATCATGCAACCTCGAGGAGGAGAATTGTAGCATAATCCCTTAGAGCCTTAATACATTTTTCCGTCCAATACAACATTATAGTGACTTGATTTTTTGTCATGTCAAACTATATGAAAATCAAAACTGGAATGAAATGACAAGTACCTGTCGATAGATAGACTAAAGTTAATAACAACATTGGATACACCATTCAAAATAGGAATTTTTCCTTTCCTTGCTATTTTATTCTTTACAAACAGTGTAGTAAATGCATCAAAGGTTGATTTGCCTTGGTTAATTGGTGATACAAATAGAATACGAAGTGTCAAATATTACATAAATTTTTTTTCAACAAAGTCCACAGACCAAAACTACATTCATCACATTCACGTGTGTTTCACCTATTTGCACTGCCAATAACCCCATTTTCTATGTGAAAAACCTTGTATATGATTTTTCTACCAAAAGCATGGGTGTCACGTCATCTTCAAAGTTACGATTTAATTAGATTAGATTAAAATTCAAAAAAATAAGTTAAATTTATCCCAAATTATTTGACCTCACTGGTTAATAATTTTGATGTCATTATATATTGTTGATGATGCACAAAATGGGTTTATGCAAAATCTATTAAGAATGTCATGGTGTGTATAATGGTGCATGTGATGGGGATGCTTAATATAGCAAGAAATACATATTAGGTGGTTTTGTTTGGGTGATCTTGAATAGCTCACTCCCAACTCCCATTTTTAGACTATAGATCTTCTCATACGATTTCAATCCTCTCCCTTTCAAGAGGTTCAAGAAACTGTCATGGACTAAGACCTTAGGCTACTCTACTGAGAGTGACAACGATGGTCGGAGAGTTTTATTACTCAAGGTGTGGTGTGTTAAGATGTGTGTAATGCCCCTCATGTGTAGACGGGGCTTACAATTTATAGAAGAGCAACACTTCATAGCACCTCAAAGGGAGCCTTGATTGAGGCACCATTACGGGGATCCTTGATTGAGGCGTCACCCTAATAATGGGGAGCGAGGTGAATCTGTGATGCTGTGTAACAAGTGAGGTAGTTGAAGCTGAATACACACTCCGATGACTATACTCCATGATTCCGTTCCTAAGATGGAGATCTCAATGTGTGCTAGTAATAGACTAGGTCTCCCAAGACGGTGGGCTTGGCCCTTGTTGACCTGTATCTTTGATTTAGGTCTTGTCTAGGCCGAGCTTGCTTCTGTGATCTGGGCCGGGCCCATCATTTACCTCCCATGCCCAGAGTCCAATGGGATTTGGGAGAGAGGGCATCAGTAAGAATAAATTTTTGTTTTCTACTTTTTTACCCTTCATTCTGGGTATTGAATGTTCACCTAAGAAGCTTGTTTATGTGAGATGTTGAGTCACGGAAAAAAAAAGAAGTGTGTGTGGTGCAGGAGGCAAGGCGATAGAGGTAGGAAAACAAGGCGCTAGCATAAGGAGTAACAACATTGGGTGCAGGCGAGGGCGACGAGGCATGGGTGCGCTGGCAGGAGTTAGGAGCGATGTGGGCATTGGTAGTGTTGGGCTGGCGCTGGGTGTGTTGGGCTGGAGCATGGGCACTAGGCATGGGTGCTGGTGCACTAGGCTAGCACTAGGTGCTAGCACAGGCCTATAACCTTTATAGGTGATGGTGATGGCAACGAAAAGAAAGGCCCAGACAGTTGGAGCTTTGAGGGCATGCCTAGAGGTAGCAGAAAATATGTTACCTAACGTCTAGAGCCATGCAAGCATCGCGACAAAATAGCTGTTGACAACAATGGTTCCAAGGTGAGCACTATTTTAAGTCCCATCAGGTGCTAAAATTGCAAGGATTGTCCCTATTTTTTTATGTTGTAGGCGTTCGCAACCACTATCCGCCTTTTTGTGAGGGTCAACCAGCATGAGCAGGTATTGAGGACTCTAATAAGGGAAAGATAGACACATCGAGTTGTTGAGGAGGAACTGAGAGTGGCTCGCGAGAGCTGCACCTCTTGAGGCCAAGCTTCTGGTAACTCGCGAAAGAGCTACTAAACTGGCGGTTGAGACTGAGGTTGCTTGTGAGAGAGTAGAGGCAGAGTAGACCAAGTTTTTGGAGACTTGCAAGAGAGCCACTAAGCTGAAAACCAAGAATGAGGCTGCTTGCGCAAGAGCAGAAACATAGTAGGTCAAGCTTTTGATGACTCGTAAGAGAACCGCTAAGCTGGAAGCTGAGACTAAGGTTGCTTGTGCAGAGTTATGGGCAACTGACGAGAGGGCTACTAGAGCCGAGGTAGAGCTACAGGTAGCTCGTGAGAGGTCTACTAGAGCTGGGGTGGAGCTATGGGTAAGTTATAAGAGAGCTACCAGAGCAAGTTTGCTCCTAGAAGATGGAGATGATGAGGAAGGCTATAGAGAAAACTGTCCATAACTTGCAAGATAACGTTGCAGGTGCTTTTATTGATGGCTATAAGGAGTTTAGGGGGAAAGCTTCAGTAGCTTTTCCCAGCATAGACTTCTCAGGATGAAGAGCAAGAAGCAAGTGGTGATGTTGATGGCAAGGATTCTGATGAGAGTGGGTTAGCCAGCAGCAAAGAGGGCCAAGACAGCTAAAGTAGCTAGAGGGCTAAGGATGCTTGATAGATTTTGACATACTTTCCTCTTTTTTTTAGAGGTAGTGTCTCTAACTATTGTAGGAATGACTTTTGTCTCCAAACTTTTTCTAAAATAAAAAGCAAGAAAATTTTTGTGATTAATCCGCAAAGCTTTATTTGATAACTATTTGTAGCCCCCCCCCCCCCCCCCCCCCC